ATATATATATATATATATATGAACACAAAATGAGAAAGACTAAAGCTGGGGTGTGGGATATCATTGTGAACACAAAAGCTCCATTTCCAGTTGCTTTTGTGTTCCTGACTGACCTCCTTTTTTTATTCTAAGTAAAGGTTGTTTGAAAGTTTCCATGGCAACAAACACTGCATCATGGCAGCTTGCATTTTATCAAATGACACTTGCTCCTTGACTTCTTGTGAAATAGGTCTCAGTAGAGGTGTTATTCATCACAACAACATTGACCTTTACACAGCTATTTAAAGCATTTAGCATCCTGTGACAAAGAGTAAAAAAAAAGGAAATGCATACAGGTGTGAAAGTTCATACGATTAGATTACACTAAAACAAAATTCAGATTTTGTATTTTTATTTAAACAACAGAATGTGCTGTAACAAGCATGAGGCTTTATGCATATGTATGTATGGATGTAACCTTCGTTAGAGAGAAAGATCGGGTTGAAGAAAATTAACTAAACATCTAAGATGTTGAAACTAACTTTAATTAGTTTATAAAAACTGTATGAGATATTAAAAGAATACCACAAACTGTACACAGTAATAAATTGTTCTTTAAGCTAATTTTCTCGTAATTTAAATGACTTTATATGACTAAAATTATTTTTAAATACATTAATATGTTGTTCTAAAATCTTGATCAGCACTTACCTATAAAACAGTTTAAAATGGTTTAAAAACATAAAGCATGAAAAAGGCGTGGATTAACTGGGATTAAAACTTTAATTAGCATTTACCAACTCCTGAGCTTTACCTCAAATCAACTTGCACCATCTGTCTATGACCCTATAGATCCATTTGATTGCACTGACCTGGCGAGGATCTTGCATAAAATTAAAAGAAAAAAATGTGCCCAAGTTTTACGGGTAACTTTTTTCTAATTTAAAATGAACTCATGAGTTCCATATTTTAATGTAACTGTTACCACTTCCAATTTAGACTTTAGGACGACTGTTTGCAGGTTTTGTTTTGTCCAGAGTTTAGCAGCCGCTGACTTGAAACTTAAAACCACTGGTCGCCTTAAACGAGTAGAATCTACGCGGCCCTCCGTCTCTCAGAGCTCTTACTTGTACAGCGGGATATCGGGCTCCTTGCCCTCAGTTCTCAGGGTCAGACAGCACTGCTGCAGCTGAGATTTGGGGTCATTCCAGTCCTGGTTCAAAATGAACTCCTGCAATTCAAAGAACATCTCTTTTAAATTCCCCTCTGATAAAAAACACATTTCTTTGAAGAAATCAGACGTGAAATAAAAATCAGCTGCTGTTATAACCCCTCTCCTTCAGCCACTTTTGCTTTTATTTCATTCTTGCCATCCCCATGCTTTTTATGTTCTCCTTTCAGAATCACTTATTTGGTCACTCTCAGACTTGCTCTCCATCTGTGTCTTCACGGTGAGTACAAATCACAGGCTACTTAAGACAAAAGCCAATTCCGGGCCAGAAATAAAGAGCGTCTGGGAGTCTCCCAGGTGTGTAGCCCTGATACATTTCTTTTATCCAAGGGGGACTTCTAAAAGCCCTTCCATTAACAGGGAAGCAGCCTTGTCATAAAACGGCAGACTTTGAATCCAGAACTGTCTGCTCCTATTAATTTTCTACAAAGAGTGCTTCTGCTGCTCGTGCTCCCCTGCTCTCGCTTTACTGCCTCCAAACTCTTTATCTCTACTTTCCTTTTTGTTGCCTCCATCCCACTTTCTCTGTCTCCAGGGGGGAGTGGGCATCCACACTCCTTCAACCTAAAGCAGAGGAATTTTGATGTTTCGAGAAGAGCATACAGCCCACCGCTACAGTAAAACAAGCCTCTCCAATTGCACACAGATGCTAACCCGTTGATATGCGTCATCACACAGAGCAAAAAGCGCAAACATAAGGAAATGGGAGCGTTCATGTCCCTGGTTTTTCGCTCTCTATTTCCATCTAAATTGGATGAAGCAGCACAGTGTGCAACGCTGTCTTTCCAGAAGGCTACGTAAGGAGACGTGCTGGCTGTTTCACAACTTTTCTCTTGGAAGTGGAAATGAGGTGCTCTCTTGCAGCGACCATGACGCAAAGCTCAGCTCCTCCAGAGCTGAGGATTCTCCCTGGAGAGGCACACCAAGACAGCAATTAGCATGGCATATCAGACCACTGCAGCAGCTTCACAAGGACAGGTCCTCTCTGTGCGGGTACGTGGCCACGTGCATGTGGGTGATAGTTTGCAAGCAAGTGCATAAGCAGGGAAACAGCCATCTTGGGTGTTTTCTCTTTAAATTTGGACTAAGGCACTTGTGGATAAAATGCTTGTGGTTCCAAGCGCACATCTGGCCACAGGAGTTCTGAAATACAATTGACCATACTCCTGCAACACATGTGAAGTGGAAGTCATCGGCAGCACTTTTTCAATCAATACCCAAACACTGATGAGCAGCATTAGCAGCCCAATGCATGCGTCCCTGCACCGCTGCTATTAAAGATGACTAAAATAGCAGGCCGAGTCACCATTATGAGAAGCATTCAGGAGCCAAGCACCACTTCAGGCACTGTATCGATCAGGGTCCGACCATTAGCTCCCTCCTCATCATCTCCTTGGTCCTTTTCTCTCCTTAGGTGCCCTGCTCGGCAGCTCATTGATCAAGCGCAGGCAGTGAATAGCCATCAATAGGAGCTCACCTTCAGCCGAGGAAAAAAGCAGACGTTCATGAAGGTGTGAACGTACTCCAGGTCTTTGTCAATGTAGAGAGCGGCGATGAAAGCTGCAACGACAAAGAGAGCACTTATTTATTTTATAAGCGGCTCAAAGGATGATTAGGCGCTTGTTCTTAAAATCTCTCTCTACTTCTGAGATAAATAAAACTTTAAAAACCCGAAAGCAGCGGCTTTTCACAGCAAGGCGTTGTAACAAAAACCCGCCTCTTTTTTTTCATTCTAACAGGAAATAAATCCAGCGAGGGCCACACAAAGTTCGCAGCTACTTTTATGCCCCATAGAAAATAAAAATGTACGTCAAGCTGCATTTAGGGTAGCCGCAGTCTAAGTGAGCTGAAAAAGATTTGAAATGTAAGCACAGGTTGCTGAGTGTCATCTTCATCTCTCTGCGGGCTCTTTGTTTCCTCCATTAGTCGCCGCTGCATTTACTCATCTCGGTGGCTAAGACGACGGGACACGAAGGGAAATGATAGGTAATATTTCAGGAGGCCAGTGAGGGCCTGCTGTAGCCGCAGGGCATGGCGGTTCATATACAGAGAAGCTGCACTCGTTTCCAGCGCTGCCCCCTTGTCTTCTTCCTGTGTCATCAACTCTGCTCTGACCCAGACTCTCAGGAATGATTTGAAAGGCAAATGATATGAAGCGCCGCGTTGTTTTGGGATTTATGCATCAAGGTTTGTTGATTGAAAGCTAACCTGAAGGACACTGGTCTCGTTTCTCTTTTTTATTTGCATTTCCTCATTTTGTCCTTCCTATTCTATCTTTCTGGGGCAGCTTATTTCCTACTCTGCAGTCCCCGTTCTCTCTCTTGATTGTCTCTAAGGTGTTTATTTCTCCAATAAATTACGTTTGTCGCCTGCTGTCAAATTCTTTTGTCCAACTCTCCGTGTGTATAAGTTGGTGTATAAACAAAACACCTGGATCAATTTCAACAGAGATTTCAGATAAACATACAATTGATTACTGTACTTTTCGGACTATAAGGCGCACCGGATTATAAGGCAGGTTCATTAAGCGAAACAAAACAGTCAGATAAGTCAAACTTTATTCAACTCATTCACAATAACAAACATAAAATCAGTTCGAGGTCAGTGAGCACAACCACAATTAAAACATAAGGTGCACCTGATTATAAGGCTCACTGTTAATATTTGAGAAAATTCAAGGATTTTAAGTGCGCCTTATAGTCCGAAAAACACGGTAACATTTGGAGGCACCCCTATTCAAAATGGCACCACAGCTAAATGACCTTAGCCGACACAAAACTGGCTTTAACTTAGTGAGATTTAGAGATACTGTGCTCCAGTTTGATGTGGTAGTAGATAAGCGTCACCCTCAACACATACTCAAAGCTGAATATAGTACGAGATTGAACTAACCATAATTTCCGAGGCTGAATCAGATCATAGGCTTTAGATATGTTTAATCAGGCCAAGGACATGGGCTTTTCAATTCAGGCTTAATATCAAAAATACATGGCAAGAGCTAAATGTTTAATTAATTTAACGGGGGCAGGTAGAATATACTCCACAAGTTCTACTAGATTTTAAAGGAAAAACTCACTATTGGTCATCAATAGTGAGCTGTTGAGAAATAATGTTGAACAAATATGTTTTTTGCTGATAAAGCACAATATATATATAAAAAAAAATTAGGTAGTAAAGTATCTATTTCCACTAAGTGTGATATTTTCATGAAATATATTGTAGAATAGGTTCATGGCTTCTAATTTTTTCCTGTAATTTTCCTTTGTTTCACTGACTGTAGGCCCCGAAACTGACAGCAATAACTGGAGGACAGAAAGAGGGAGAGATTGATCGATTTCACCTGTCTGTGAGGCAGCTGGCAGCGCGCTCCATGTCCTGCTGTGTGGGCTGACTTCAGCAGCTCCGTCAAATATAATATAGTAGCCTAATGATCCCAGAAACTTGTGATTATCAGAACCTGTGGTCCAACATGGCCTGCAGGACACACTGTAATGTTCCTTAATGTTATGCCCCGCAAAGTTATCACCTGGGAGGTATTAGTAGTCACTGCATGGAAGTCTAGTTCAGCTTGTTTCAGCACACTGAAGTTAAACATGCTGGAACTGGCAAAAGAAAGGGATTTCATCATCTTGATTTAGTAAGAGTCTAAAGGACCATTTACACATGCTGCATTTGATATGAGGTACCATGAGCTAATCATATTTACCCTCCAGATTTTAATATGATGGATTAATTTTTATGAAGACAGTGATATTTTACACTTGTTCATCTATATATTCATAGCGAGATAAAACTTAATCTCATTTCCCAGTGTTCCCCCAACCTCTAAAGTTCAAATGTATCCCTGACCCTTAATTTGAAGTTAAAAGGGATAAAGGATAAATATTATCCAAGGCAATGGGACACCACTGCAAGAAGAAAATAATACAAATGTGCTTAGTCGTCTCGCATAAACATATGTGGCATGTTTTAGTCAAAGTTATTAGAGTTAGTTTGTTGGTTCCACTATTATTGTAATGTTGAGTTAGAACATGCTACAACACGCTTGTTACAGACAACGACAACTGTTTTGTTCAGCTAAATAAAGACCATGATAGCAAACTATGTTATAATATCAAACGACACATTAAATCAGCGGTTGTCACTATTAAATGTTGATAACCAAGAAAATAGAAAACTTTATTTAACATTTACTGGCATTTGATAATTACCCAAGAGTTTGGTAATTAGCAAATGCTAGCAAACTCACTAATGTAAGCATGTTCTTGGCTAAAAACCTTTTAAGAACTAAAGCAACGGTTAAAAAAACATGTTATTTGCTACTGTGACAGTAAAACACTTGTATGCCATTATTTGTTGAGTAAGATTAGACCCACCATTTTTCTTCACATCACTAAACAATAAACAACTACTTGTTGAGGGACTTGCCAACAGGGCAATGCCTGCTGGCGACTAGTTGGTGAACAGCAATCACTGATATCCTCCTGGCTGTCTTGTGACGTTCACAAACAGAGATGCACAGGCTCGCAGCCTATTGGTTGAATTATGAACAACATGTATGTAATTTTCTCCTAAAATTATCATCACAAGTGCCTGGAAGTGTTCGAACCCTCTCGATTTTGTCCCAAGCAGCGCCAACATGTTACAAGAGCAGAAGAGTTGTGCTTTGACGCCTGCATGAAAGCTCTTCTTTGACAGAAAGCATGTCAAGGTAAACACACATATATATATATATATATATATATATAAAAAAAACATGCCAAATAATGAATATATAAAAAAACTGGTCTAAATGCATTTTCTTATTCCAATCATGTGCTCCAGTAGATTAAATCACAAGTGTGAAGGCTGCTGCTGCTCAGTTATGTACAAGTTGTGTTGAGGCAGGTATGATGCTGGTGATAAAATAATGTGCACGGCCTGGAGTTCAATTTTACAGACCATGTAAGTGACCACAAATACATGTAAGTCACGGCAAACACTTAAAGTCAAACAAACAAAATAAAACAAAACAGAGGTAAAGTCAAGGAGTAAAGCCAAGAAGTATAAAGTGTGTTAGTTCTCTACATTTAACCCATTCCACCTGGGATAGACCCAGGTGGAGCAGCGGGCAGCTACGTAAGCGCCCGGGGAGCAATTAGGGATTGGATGTCTTGCTCCGGGACACCACGACATGTGGGAAGGGCGGGGAGTCGAACCACAATTTTCTGGTCTCAGGTCGGCTGCCCTACCTCCTCCCCATCTTGGACCCCTACGGTATATCAAGTCTTTCTTCTTGTAAAATCCTGGGCTACTCGTCGGATATCTGAATTGAAAACGACAGCTGTCCTCCTTGAAGGGTTTAGAAATTTTCCAGAAAAATAATAGTTTTACACCACAGTAAATGAAGAGTTCCACAAAATAATGGGAATCAACCCAATATGGTTAAAAAGAAACATTAGTTTTAGTGTGATCTGTAAATTTTCCAATTTTCTCGGTCAAAAACTGTAGAGTTTCAGGGAACGTATTTTTTTGTGTATTTAGTGGATTTAACCTGAATCAAATAGTTGTCTTAAAAAATTACTTATTATTGTCAATCCTGGTGAAATATTAGAACATTTTACATTTTATCAATGCTTACAACCAAGCCTTGATGTCAAGAAAACCAGGAATTCTAGAAAAAAACAAAAAAAACTTTTGCCCAATTTAAGCTTAGACATCTAAAAAAATTACCAATTTATTTCCCACTTAATACAATGTTGTTCCCTCACCAAACTAAAGCAGTGTCCTTTTCATATATATTTTGCTTCACTTTTGGAAAACTGAGTGTAACATTCTGTTTATTCTAATTTACGAAATTCAGAAATGACAACGACTTAACTCAAACATAAGTTTACTTTGTTCCCTTCTTTAGCAGCCAAATACTCTCATTTTACTTCTTTGAAGGTTCTATAAATGTGAAAATATGTGTTAGACTGCAGGAAAAGCACAACATTATTATTAGGTAATTAACTGAAGGAGATGTGGCAGCTGTGGCTGGTGAAAAGTAAAAACATCAATGAATACTTCAGTCATGCTAAACACATAAGGAGCATTTTTCAGTCTTTTCAGGAGAGAAGTGACTGCATTTGACATTGAACACAAAGAGAACAAAGACTCCAATAACATGCTGTTAGCTTAGACCGTGCATTTTTGAAAGAGAGAAATAAAAATAAAATAAAAAAGGTCTACAAACGGTCTTTAAGGATTGCATTGCTATTCATTGTACATCCATAGCAGCAAGTGAAAGGTATGTAAACGTACACTCCAACAAGTCAGCCAGAGTCTTGGTCCGCAGCGCAACAGGCCTTTTGGTTTTGTCATTGGTTATGGCAAATTCCTGCATCCCCAACTCCTCTGCCACTTTGGCTTGGGTTCGATTGTTCACCAACGAGCTGCGTAGAAGCTGCAAACACAAAGAGAAATGTTTTTATGCTCCGTCTTGAGCTGCAAGGTGAACATGAAGCAAAACAGAAATAAACAGAAGTTGAAAAAAAAAAAAACAGGAAAATGGAGTGGAATGAGGAATAATTCATCAAAGCCAGAAAGAGTTGCGCAAAGAAAATGTTTTAGGGAGGTTTCACATCAGTCTGTTAAATATTACATTGTGACTCGGAGCTGGGCGGATGACAACATGTTCGACTTGTTAGGGTACATTTAAGTCTCTAAAAGGAAAATACAGAAATGGTAAATATAGCTACAAGATGCAAGAAAGAAGCAAATGGAATGCAACAAGACCGTCAGAATACTTCTTGCTGTGATATGCCCTCTTTTACAGCACGCACACAGTCATGACTGAACTCACACAAACACCAGTTGAATGGGCACTTTTTATTTGGATCTGAAATCCATTTCAGATGTGGCCCATGTTGACTCCTGAACATTGCTAGAGCTTCTCGTCTCTACAGAAGCTTTACAAGTGAGGGTAAAGCTTCCAACTACTAGAAATTATCTCCAAATACATATCTAAAACGTTATTGTTCTGTTTTAGACTGTTTCAGTCTGTTCATTTTTAACTGGTGCTAAGATGGCAAAACAAAACCAAAAAAGGCAACGTGAATCTTGAAGGGATGGTTTTGCCACTTTGAAGAGATGTTAAAGCAAAAGGTTATCGCTAGATGGTAATTTATCAGCTGTGACATAACTCATAGAGAATGAAGTAATGTTGAAAAGGAGGTTCTATTGGATTCAGATTGGTGCCTCTTTGCTACTGTTTTCTTTTTAAGACAAAATAACTCTTGCTCAAACATGTCATATTTATTCTTTCGGCTAATCCCTCTGTGAGTCATCCTCCTCCATCTCACTCTGTCCTCACTCCAACTACCTCCATGTCCTCTCTAATTGCATCCATTTATCTCCTCTTTGTCTTTTTTCCTGGCAGCTGCATCTCTAATATTCTTCTACTGATATACACACTGTCCCTCTTCTGGACATGTCCAAACCATCTCAGTGTGTCCTCTCTAACTTTATCTCCCAGTTGTTCATCCTGTGCTGTACCTCTGATGATCTCATTCCCAATTTTATCCATCCTTGTCACTCCTGAGGAGAACCCCAACATCTTCATTGCTGACCATTTCAGTTGTTTCTCTATCTTTTTGTCAGTGCCCTGTCTCTAAACCATAAAACATAGCTGGTCTCACCACTGTCTTGTAAACTTTTCCTTTGACCTTTACTGCCACCTTTCTGTCGCAAATCACACCCAAAAACTTTTCTTCATCAAATCTACCCTGCATGGACTCTCTTTTTTACCTCTTTACCACACTTCCCATTTTCCTAGACAGTGGAATCCCAAGTACTTGAAGTCCTGCACCTTTGTGACCCCTGCTTCTTGTAGTCTCATTATTCCACCTGCCTCCCTCTCATTCACACACACGTACTCTGTTTTACTATGACTGACTTTCATTCATCATCTGTCAAGTGCAAACCTCCACCTCTTTAAGTTATCTTCTACCTGTTCCCTGTTTTTACCACTGATCACAATGCCATTTGCAAACATCAAGCAGTAGTCCATTGGATCATGGGCTGTCAAGTTGAAGAAGGAGTCTTAGCTTACCTTACTGGCTGATGGGACTCCAGAGTAAGTACCAGAAGGCCAAGCAAGCCACAGCCTTGGCTATTAAAAAAAAAAAAAGCTCACATGTGAGAGGAGTTTGGTGAGGCCTTGAATAGAGACTTTTGATTGGCTCCGGGGAGAAGATTTCAAACCGTCATGCAGCTGAGGAGAGGAAAGCAGCGTTTTACTAACACTGTGTCCACTAAAGATGGGGTGATGTTGACTTCAACCAGTAATGTGGTCAGGAGGTGGAAAGAATACTTCTCAGGCCTTCTTAATCCCACCAACATGTCTTCCATGGAGGAATTTGAGTCAGGGGGACTTTGTGGTTGATCTGTCCATAACCGTGGTTGAGGTCACAGTTAAAAAGCTCTGCGGCTCCAGGGCTCCAGGGGTGGATGAGATCCGCCCTGATTTCCTTAAGACTCGATGTTGTGGAGCTGTCTTGGTTGACACACCTTGCAACATCGCATGGACATCGGGGGCAGAGGCACTGGACTGGCTGACCAGTGGTTCCCCTCTTCAAAAAGGGGGACCAGAGAGTGTGCTCCAATTATAGTGGCATCACTCTCCTTAGCCTCCCTGGTAAGGTCTATTCAGGGGTACTGGAGAAGCGAGTCTGATTGATGGTCAACCCTCAGAACCTGGAGGAACAATGCGGGTTCTATCCTGGACGTGGAACACTGGACCAGCTCTTTACCCTCACTAGGTCCTTGAGGGGTAATGGGAGTTTGCCCATCCAGTCTACATGTGTTGTGTGGACTTGGTGAAGGCGTTTGACCATGTTTCTAAGGGTAAACTGTGAGAGTGCTCTGCAAGTATGGGTGCCCATTGATATGAGCTGTTCGATCCCTATGTGAACGGTGCTAGAGTTTGGGTCACATTGCCAACACTAAGTTGGACTCCTACAAGGTTGGAGTTGGACTCAGCCAGGGCTGCCCATAGTCTCAGATTATGTTAATAACTTTCATGGACATAATTTTTTGCTGCAGCCAGTGGGTGGAAGGAGTCTGGTTCGGTGGCCTCAGGATTCCATCCCTGCTATTTATGGATGATGTGGTCATGTTGGCATCATCATGCCATGATCTTCAGCTCTGCAGTGTTTTTTAGTGTGAAGTGGCTGGGTTGAGAATCAGCACCTCCAAATTGGAGGCCATGGTCCTCAGTTGGAAAAGGGTGGATTGGATCAAGGGTGAGGTTCTGCCTCAAGTGGAGGAGTTCAAGTATCTTGGGGTTTTATTCATGAGTGAGGGAAGAATGTGAGATTGACAGATGGATTGATGCAGTGTCTGTAGTATTGTGGACTCTGTGCTGGTTTGCTGTAGTAAAGAGGGAGCTGAGCAATAAGGTGAAGTTCTCTGTCTTCTGGTCAGTCTACGTTCCTAGCCTCACCTATAGCCAAAAACTTTGGGTAGTGATCAAAAGAACAAGACTGTGGATAAAGGCAGTTGAAATGAGTTTGCTCCAAAGGGTAGCTGGACTCTCCCTTTGAGGTAAGGTGAAAAGTTCAGTTATCTGGGAGAAACTTGGACTAGAGCAGCTACTCCTACACATCGAGAGGAGCCAGTTGAGGTGGTTTGGGCATCTGGTAAGGATGCTCCCTGGACGCTTCCCTAGGGAGGTTTTTCGGGCATGTCCGACTGGGAGGAGACAACGGGGAAGACCCAGGACATGCTGGAAAGGATATGTCTTTCGGTTGGCTTGTGAACGCCTTGGAAACCTTCCAGAAGAGCTCAAAGAGGTGGCTGTGGAAAGAGATGTCTGAGCGTCTTTCCTCAAGCTGCAACCCGACTTCGGAATGAGTGGAAGATAACAGATGGATTGATGGATGAATGAAAGGAAATATGTATGTATGTATGTATGTATGTATGTATGTATGTATGTATGTATGTATGTATGTATGTATGTATGTATGTATGTATGTATGTATGTATGTATGTATGTGATTGTGTGTGTGTGTGGATGTGTATGATTGGCTGTTTAATCATCTTTAATTGGTTAGAAACTTAAGCAGACTTTTTATACCTTGGGATATATACATCATAGGTCTGTTGCTTGTGTGGGGTCGTGTCAGTTTAGTAGTACTGCATGTCCTAAAGCTGGTCTCATGATGAGTTGCATTCAGATTATCAAATGTTTGTGAATAAAAGGGGTTCAGACCACTTTTGGAGGGGGTCTGGACTGAAGATGGTCCACCTACAACGGTGGTCTGAGTGAAGAGTAAATGCACAACAAAGCCATACACATCTGTATTTAGTGTTATCAGAAGCAATCCAATAGATTAAAACAGATGTCAGTTGTGAAAGAGGTCTACGACTGATGTCACAACAGATACGGTACCAACTACTGATAACTATCGGACAGAATATCATTTCAAACTGGTCAAAATATCCCTTTAAGGATAAATATTTCTCTTGAACACAACTTTATTTTTTCAGACAGTTGACAGGTTCTACAAAAAGAAATGTGCACAGAAAGATGTGTTTGTTATTGAAAACCACTGAACAATTTGGTCTCATGACAATTCCCATCACACGGAGTATGATAAGCACACAGGTGCAGCGGGGAGGGAAGGAGAACAGATTTTTTTGTTTTGTGTGTGTGTGTAAACAAGTGAGAAACTGAGGCGGACCACAGACTTGATGACTCACAGACTGACAGGAAGGAAAATGTAGAAGAAAGAATTAAAAAGGGCATAAAAACACACCTGCAACTTCTGGTAAACACGTAAAAAGCTGAAGTAAATGAGGAAAAATGCATGTGCAGGGTTGAAAAAATAACCGTGTGAGGGATTTGGGTGATGACAATTATTTTGTGGACTGATCTTACTGTTAAGTGTCCTTCATGGTGGTCAGGGAAGTGGATGAATAGATATTCGGTGGCAACAAGCTGCATGATAGAGTCTCCCAGGAACTCCATCCTCTGATTGTGACCCCTGCATAGAAACAGGGACAACAACAGGGAAAGAAAAGGTTACAAACAGATACAAGAAAGACAGAAACGGAGATAAAATAAAGGGGATATCTGAGGTCATTTGGCATCACTCACTCAGTAAATCTACCAGGCTTTTAGAGTTTTAACAGAAACGGCAAGCCGGCTGATGTGCGTTTCATGTGTAGCCGCTGGGAGCAGCTGCTCTGACAGAGAGTGACAACTCGGAGGATCTGAGCGCGGCTCAAACACAAAAAAGTACAAAAAGAAGAGCGCTTAACAAAAAATAACACCTGCAGGAGAGCCTGTCAGCAAAAGCAGCAACTAAGTGTGCAGGCTGAGAACGTCTTTTAAGTTCATTTTCCAGAAAATGCTCATGGCTACGCTGTGATTGTGTACCTCAGCTTCCCATCAGTGGAGAGCAGGGTGTGCTGTAACTCGCTGCGTGGTGTTAGACAGGGCTGGGGAAGGGGGTTGGGGGGTGGGGACATGCAACTGCTGCTGCTGTAATGGTCATTAATTAAACAGAATTATAGATTAGCATTGCAGATGTGGGCTGGAGCCAGGCCAGACTGGCAGGGAGCGTTGGCAGTGGGGGGAGCAGCGTGCATGCAGGGAGGTATATTCAGCAGCAGAGCACATATCCATCTATAACTACCAGCTCTTGGCAGGAGTCTTAATATGATGATGGGGAGGTAGAAGACGAAGAGAGCGTCGGCTACAAAGAGAGAAAAAGTCTCAAAGTTTAATGACCAGCTTTCGGGGTCTCTAATTTTCATGAGATCCTGTGTTTTTAAACCAAATAGATCTGAGGGGAAAATTTCATCTGAAGGGCTGCAACGATCAATTATTCTGACTTTTGATAAATGGCTTTAATTAGACTTTTCTGCTCACTAATTTACTGCTGTAATTTTAAAAAATGCCCACAGTTTCCCCAAGAGTTGATTTTTCCACCAAACAAAAAACACAAAAACCAAAAGGTACAGAGTTATTAGGGTGAGCATGAGGAAAAAAAAATATTTCATGAGTAAGAATTTGTTTTAAAATGACATCACTAGATACTAGGGTAAGCTGTTTAGCTTTGACACTGTTTTTGTTTAAAGTGTAGTACTGTGGAAAGTATTAACATTTAATATTGTACCTGTGTTAGCTAGCTCCCTGAACCACCTACGTTTAGACATTTTTTATTTTTTACTGGGCTGCAACTGGTGGAGACCAGTTGATGACTCAGAATTGTAAGAAAATAAACACAGTTTCTGTTGGAGTTTCACTGAATTTAGAGTTTTTGTGACCAAGCAACCAGTGAGCTGTGCAACCGTGTTTTGAATGATCAATTAAAAAAAGTGCATACTTTATTGTTGTGAACATGGCCCGCAAATACGCATTCAGGGGTGCACATAACTGGTACGCAGGTACGCATGCGCAACAAAAATCAGGAATGTGTAGCATCACCTGCGTTACCACACGCCTTTGTGTACTTGACCATCAATTTATTACCACAGTATTTCCCCGTGGGCTGGTCTGATATGTGGCCTGCAGGGCCGGCACTCCCTGTTTTTGACTAAATAAATAAATTAACATTAAAACTCACAACACCGATACCGCTGCACCTGGGCTGCCCCGCCTCCACCCAAAGCTAGCGGGCGGCGGCAGCATTTATTTATTTTTGCATGAGTCGGATCAGCGACGCAACCTGTCAATCAATCCAGTAGGCGTGTCAGCAACTGACCACTCGACGAACTCAATTTGTCCCGAAGGTAAACACCCCTTACCTGTAGATATATGCAGCCCATCAGTTTTTTTTTCTAGAACTTTATTAACAACACAAAACAGAGCAATGTAACAGGATACAAATACTAACTTGTGAAGGGCGTCATAACTACATTTCACAAAAAAGGGGGTTTACAAAATAATGAAAACTATAAAAAATACCAAGGACAAAAAAGTACATCTGCAGCATCTGCATCATCTCCCACGCAGGAAGCTGAAGCAGATAGTGGGAGTGACACTGAGGAGGACAGTGAGGAATGTGGCACTTATTCAGACAAAGCTGCATATGGGGTGAGCACCAAACACCATCTCCTGGTGCTCATCTGAGGAGCCCACAGGAAAAAAAGTGATGTGCACCCTTGTACATATTCTAGGTTGTGCACATAATTGTGTTGCCTACCTCCACCCACATTGTATCCACTTTCACCAACCCTAACCCCCATGTTAATGACTTATTCTATAAAAGCTGTTGTCCTTAATCACCAGTAAACAAATAAACAAACAAACAAACAAGCAGGCAAGCATGCACATAATTCAGAATGCATACAGTCATACATACGTATATAAATATAAAATGATGTATTTTTTTATTAATTGGTACTGCAGGGTAATTTAGTCAGAGAAATGAACACTTCTGTTCACCTCTCTTCTAAACAAACCTTAAAGTATAATAAAAATAAATAATATTTCCCCCACAAGTCTGTGGGACAGTTGTCTTGTATAAAACTGGTCCATGATGTCCATAATGAATAAAAGCTTGGGGACCACCCACTGTAGTACATTGAGTACAACTGTCAGACAAACAGCCTCCACCTGTCTCAGCTCAGAGAGAAACTGACTTTTGGAGTGGAAGAACTTCACATCCTGAGACCCATGTCCTCAGACCCCGGGGGCATTGGCACATTTTGTGCACATGTAATTTAATTTTGTTCAAAATAGACCTGTTGTCTTTATTCAAGGATACCTACCTAACTTTTACTTTTATTTTTTTTTGTATTTTTGAACGACTAATTGCACAAAAAAAAGAAGAAGCTGTTTTTTTGTTTTTTGTTTCAAGTCTTTGAGGTCCTACTTAAAAAGCTAGAGGAAACTGAAAGGCTTGAGGTTTACAAAGGTATAAATGACCAGACTGAAAACCAACGGTCAACACCAAAGCGGACTGTTACCACCTGAATGAACTACAATAAACAAAGAAGAAAAAAATCATAGCAGTACAATTAAACACCTTTTCATTTTTAATTTAACAAATCTTTTATATCACAATGACTTATACATTACTTTTTTTTGTTTTACATACAGTTCTGTAGCTATTTGAACGTGTAAGTAGTGTCAGCTGCTACTAGCTATACCTTTGGTGTATTTCCAAAATGAATCTCAGTGTTTCTGTTTCAATAATTGTTCAAAGTAAAACTGGCAACAGTAATAACAGTTTTTTTTTTTTTAGCTTGCACATCTTAATCTGCTATAAAGTTTTAAAATGACAATAATCCACTTGGATTTTGGTACTGGTCAGACAAGCCGTTAGCTCATCAACCTGTTCACAATTAAACATTAATCTAAACTGAGGTCATTCAAAGCTGACCTATAACCAATACATTAATTCTTTATACTTTTTGGCAAAACCTCACTTCAGAAGATCTAAGGTCCATGTAAAGAAAACAGATGGTTCTGAGCTGCTTTGTGCCCATCAAACAATCTGGGCTGTGGACTAAAACATGGTACAATGATAACAACACTACTGTAGAGCACACTGAAACAAAAAGTAACCGTATCACAGGGAGCACATGAAGGTCCAGGTTGTAATTTACCATTTGAACCCATATAAAAGAAGCACGTTGTCAGTTCTCTACAAACTGGAGCTTTTCTATTGTTAACATCAAACGCTCTCATGTTGTGGTAATCTTTACTTGTGTTATTTTATATGCAAGTTTAATACATTTTTTAAGCTACGTTTTTATTTTTTTTTTTTTACCTATGTATATATATATATATATATATATATATATTATGATGACATGCAAAACTGTTTTCAGATTTCTTTTAGAACATAGACCCTCTGGTATTCTGTGAGCTAGACAGAGTGAAGCCTGAAACTTTTGACTGGATCAGTAGCTTTTTAAAAAATATATATTTTTTAATATACAAGAAATTTGTAAATCTTATTTTTCTTCTTTTGGCTTTTCCCTCTTCAGGGGTCTCCACAGTGAGTCATCCTCCTCCATCTCACTCCGTCCTCTGCATCCTCTGTCCTCACTCCAACTACCTCCATGTCCTCTCTAACTGAATCTCCTCTGTCTTTTTCCTGGCAGCTGCATTTCTAACGTCCTTCTACCAATATACCCACTGTCCCTCCTCTGGACATGTCCAAACCACTGTCCCTCCTCTGGACATGTCCAAACCATCTCAGTGTGTCCTCTCCAACTTTATCTCCCAGTTGTTCAACCTGTGCTGTACCTCTGATGATCTTGTTCCAAATCTTCTCCAACCTTATCTCTCCTAAGGAGAACCTCAACATCTTCATTTCTGCCGCTTCCAGTTCTGTCTCCTGTCTTTTTGTCCATGTCTGTCTCCAGACCATACAGCATAGCTGGTCTCACCACTGTCTTGTAAACTTTTCTTTTGACATTTATTGACACCCTTTTGTCACAAATCACTCCTGACTTTTCTTCATCCACCCCATCCTGCCTGGACTCTCTTCTTCACTTCTTTACCACATTCCCCATGTTTCTGGACAGTGGACCACAAGTATTTGAAGTCCTGCACCTTTGTGACCCCTGCTTCTTGTAGTCTCATTATTCCACCTCCTCCCTCTCATTCACACACATGGACTCTGTCTTACTACGGCTGACTTTCATTCCTCTTCTTTCAAGTGCATACCTCCACCTCTCCAAGTTCTCTTCCACCTGTTCCCTGCTCTCACCACAGATCACAATGTCATCTGCAAACATAGTTTACGGAGATTCCTGCCTGACCTCATCCGTTAGTCGGTCCATCACCAGAGCAAACAAAAAAGGGCTCAGAGCCGATCCTTGATGCACTCCCACCTCCACCTTGAAGCTATCTGTCACTCCTACAGCACATCTCAACACTGTCCTGCTGTCCTCATTCATGTCCTGCTGTCCTCATTCATGTCATGCTCTCCTCATTCATGTCCTGCTCTCCTCATACATGTCCTGCTCTCCTCATACATGTCCTGCTCTCCTCATACATGTCATGTACCATTCTAACATACTG